TATGGAAAAAAGACAGCCATGGTGAATTCCGCCAGTTGTCAGGAAGCTTCCGGATAGTTTCTTGAAGGCCACAACCGGACCAAAGATATGGGGAGGATGAACACGGAAAATGCTTACAAACCTAAAGGCTGCCCCCTTTGGTGGAGGAAATCTAGTTGAACCAACCTACTCACAGGATCAAAGACTGTGAAGTGGTGAATCGCGATTTTTAGCCTGCAGTATATATAGCGCTCCTAGTTAATTGATGTAATGCAGATACTTTATCAATGCACTCTCTGAAAGGTTGAAATCTTGCTTGATCTTCCCAGACATAAGTCTCTCATGCCGCAGGTAGATGTCGCAATATTCCTTTACCTATTACAATGATCTGAACAGTCTCTCCTTGATACGTCTTCTGTAGACATTGTCACTCACATGAGTTTCTTTAGAAGTTTTGCGGAAGGAAATATGGATGCATTACCCCCGGAGTTTTTGATGCTAATCAATGAAATAACAGGGGAAGCTAAAAAAGAATAACCTCTTGGAAGTTATCGGTGCATTCATTTAACTCATTTGATTTTGTAGATATAATTCCTGATTCTATCCATAAATGCTCCAAAAGGAAACCGTTTTGGAAATATCCAGAAAATGTTGGACGACAACATACTGTCCAAACGGACACAGCTTACCAGAGACTGCAATGTGAACCACAAGAGCGTGCGTAAATTTTTTGCGTAGTGCTGGAATATTGGTGGCTACAGTGCGCTCACTGCATTCATTCATCCGCCCAAATGCTCACTGATGATTTCTGTAAATCAGTAAATCAGTAAATCAGTTGCCATGCTCGGCGAACATAGTAACAATCACCTTATTCATCTTGTTTTTGACTATCTGGCAGACGCTCAAGAACAAGGCCTTGTTATGAGGTCGCCAGTATCTCCGGTTTTGGCAAATATTTTTATGGTGGTTCTTGAAAGGAAAGTCTTGACGGGATTCACATATCCACATATTCCCGGGCCAAAACGTAACACACTACTCATCAGGTTGCTAAAAAAATCGATAGACCAAAATAGGTTTCGCCCTTCTTGGGGCTTATCCGAATTCCCATCAATCTCATGTTCTACTCGAATTCAATATAGGCAGATTTCGACAAATATCCTCATTTGCACACGAATCCCATTGTGTAAGCCGAATCTCTCGCTTATGAAGGTCGAATTTACCTGAGTGTGCTGCACCAGGCCGCCTCATGTTAGAGTTGCTACGACGTTCGAGATACCGCAACGGGAAGCTTTCGCTTACCAACAAACTTTCACTGGACAATAGCTACCTCTCTTCCACGAATGCTTGCGTAAATGCAGTCTTCCCTGTAGTTTAATCCACCGACCACCACTTACAAGCCTGGACCATAATCATACAAATCGGCAGATGGACGGTCAGATTGGCGATCATATGCACCCACAACTGCATGATGAAAGCCGAGAGGATAATGAGTGAACACCAGGAGATTCGTTTGAGAACACTATCACCTGACCGTCTACAATAACCCAGCATCGCAATAGAACGAAAAGTGGGATCCACTTCGGTGGACAGGAGGACCTATCAAGAAAACAAATTTCCTTAATCTGATTTGGTACAACGAAGACGAAAATCCCAACCATGTTGTCCAGGAGGAAGATCCGTTTAGCATACAGGTTACGGAGAAAGAACAGAAAGTGTTTATCTAAGGACTCAGTTTCGGTATCACAGGCGCCACAATTCTAGAGTACCGAACTAACCTTGAAGGAGCAATGAATTCCAATGGATTAGGTGAGAACGTTCAGTAGTGACTCGATCGAACCATTGTTTCGATCACCCGCGCAACGGGCAACCTCGACACCTTTCTCAGCAAGAAAAACGGATGAAGTCGAAGAAAGATGAAACTAATGTTTTTCTACTAGTTGATGAAGGATGCCTAAGGGTCATCCTAGAAAAACCTGACCACACTAATAAGACGAAATCATTAATAACGGACACGAAGAAACGGAACCCTGCAAAACTGATGAAATAACCAATAAGGATTTCTAAAGGATTATGAAAGAAAGTACCGGAGAGTGAAAAATTAGTACTCAGTTAGTTCTCATTTCCACGGACTACTAAAAGCACATAGAGGCGAAATTCCACTACGCCCAGTAATATCACTAAACCTTTCAAAGGAACGATGAAGGGAGCTGAAGCAACTTGTCAGCGGATCCCAATACGTGGTCAGCAATGCAAAATAGTCTTCATCTAAAAGAAAGGACACAAACATCAAGGATGATGAAACAGTGATATCACTCGATGAGAGTTCACTGCCTACATCCGTGGGCCTAAACTCCCCCAAGAGGACTGTTGTGGAGCTACTGGATAGTCGCGGCGAACCACGTGGCGGAGGGAAGTCCTCTGCGATCTGCATAGCTTTTAATTAGTCGCATATTACAAATTCAATAAAAGTATCATGGACAAATTTGAGGGGCACTAACGGGATCCACAGTTCCCGGATTTATCGCAAAAATCGCAATGCGGTAGCCGGAGGGGACTGTACCACTGGATATGAATTCTAAAATATGGCTTCGCCACGTCAAAGATGCTTTCGGCTTCACCAAACGATGACCTATCATTCACAGTGGAATAAGGAACTGATGGAAAACTGGAATTCTGGGATGTTCTAATCACAAGGAGAGTTAGAAACTAAGTTTGGCAGGAAAGCAACAGATACAGGCTATATCTTCAGCTTCAACATTAGTCACCAAAAATGCCACAAACAAAGCTGCGTCCTGATACTGTTCAAACAAACTGAAACGCACTGCAACTTAACGGAGGCTACGATAAAAGAAGGGAAACACTTGTATAAAGTATTTCAAGGAAATGGATACCGTAGGAGCATTTGGTGAATTTTTGGGAGATCAATTCGACTAACTGAACAGCGTATGGTGAGGGGGGGAATGAATAAAATTTCCGTACATCAAAATATTGCTGTAAGGATGTTAAGAGAGTATAATACGACGGTGGCCTACAAACAGGCGAACAGACTTCGGAGAGCATTGTCAAAATCCAAAGAAAAATTAAACACAATGGAGAGGACCAAAGTCATATGCTGTGACTAACACTACGTGAGACAAACAGGTTAAAGGTGTACTACCACCCTATACGAACATAAACTTGCCATCAAAAGACCCGACCAGCTTTCACTCCCCTTCGTGTACAAAGAGCGAGACGGGCACGAATTCGACGGGAGCAACGTCCACATCTTGCCCAAAGACGAACAAGGAACGTTAATTTATGAAAACCTGATAATCGACCAAAACAGTCATCAACAAACATCGAGATCAATCGGATCTATCGAACGCTAAAAGCAAACGAACTCCGTGACGACAAGTTTCGAAGCCGCTCGAGAAACCGTGGGTGACATGCACAGGAAAAGCAAACGGGTTCAGTTCCAAGACAATGACCAAACTTACTGAAGTACACCGTTGACCAGAAATTAAAGAACAATACTGAACAAGGAATACGATATCCCTCAACAGAGAAAGGCATCTGATTAAACAGTTTCCTTGTAGGGAGCACACCTCCCAAGAGTAGCAGCTTTGTCGCTTATCCACTGACTCAGCGACGTTAAAGTTTCGCCAAATCGATAAGCGATGGAATGGGCAGAAGAAGCAGCAAACTGCTGTCATTCTGTTTTTTTTCCTCCTGACAGTAAAGCCTAGGCTGTATAGGCTTTGTAGTCACTAACGAAGGCCGGAAAATCAAAGAAGTCCTCAGCTTTCATGCGGCCAGTTTTCGACTGGGGAAGATTCTTATCGCTTTGATGATTGGAATATTCTCTGAAATCACTTGTCACTTTTAATTCCTGGGTTCAGCCCTATCTAAACTGATGCCCCACTTGACAGATTTCGATCGGAGTGTTGACTTCAATTGATTCCATAAAAGGCTTCACTCCAAAGTGTTCTCGCCGGAGTTGATCTTTCTGAAAACTGCTGAATTATTAGACGGGAAAGTTTTAAAACTAATCCAACACGCTAGCCCCCTTAATTGGCCTGATTAAGCTTTTGGGTTAAAATCAGTAAGTTACCCTGCAGTGAACCCATCGGTTATTTTTCAAACCTTTCTGAAACGTCAGTTTCTTCGTTGTTTCTACATATGTCGCAATCGACCACCGGTCTGTACGTTAACTCCGGTTATGGAGCTCAGAAAGACGCACGGAACATCGTTGTCGGGTATCAGTGTTAAGTGTGCAACAATCGAACTTATGCTAAATGATGTGGAGCCAGCATCACGCCTGCTGCCGGAAAATACCAGATGAACCACTATATAGAGGACTGCAAGAGAGACTATCCTGATTAACCCATATGAATACAGAAGGATAACAACAACAATTTCATATAAACTACACTCATCGATTCTTCTGACCTGCGTTCACCGACCCTATGCAGAGACCCATCAACACTACACTTGTCAGCTGTCCAAACATAGACAGGATTGAATCGGCCAAACTCACATCAAACATTATTCAGCATCATCCATGAAACCAATCTAAGCCAAGGATATGGGATCAGCGTCGGTTATAGTGACACTGGAATAAGCCAACGCCTTTACCGTTCCCGCAAGAGTTCCATGACAATTGTTGATCACCCTCACGAGGATGAACCCTGTTCGTGAAAAATCTTCCGGAACATACGTGGGTACCACACAAGATCGGCTTAGCCACTGGTTTGAAGACCCGAAGAGCTACTTCCAGTGCCTGTTTGTTATTTGCAAGTGAGTGGTTCATCCGATTCATGTGTGGACTTACCTTGGTCATCATCCCGAACGTATAGAATGAAAGTTCACGGCTACTATGAGGGAGGCACGAATTTCGCTTAAACCAACATGTCTCAAAGTCAACATGCGCGCATCTGACTAAACTTCTCTTCTGTTGATAAAGAAAGACACTGGAGCGCCATATCATCCACCGGCGAAAGAAACCGCGGCGAAACATATTCTTTATACGAGATTATTAAGTAATGCGCCCCGGACAGCTCGTGCTCCACATTTCAGATGCAACAAACGATCCAATCAAGGTTCTGTTCATTTTCTACAAATACCCGGATTTTTCTGACCAAATGCAACAGCTGTGGTCATCTCCAGCTGATCCCGAAGGTGTATAAGATAGGACGTGATGTAGAGTGAGGTTCTTTCAAAACATCTACGAGAAAACCAACTCGTCTCAGATGATTCTCCTGATACTCAGCCATAGCTTTGTTTTCAGGAACGCCAGCTCTCCGTCAGTCTACTGGACCAATAACAACGGACGATGTAGCGCTGTTTCACAGTCTCAGACCCGTACCTATATACACCTACGCAGGAAGCGACACCTTATGGTGTGTAACAATGATATATACTACACAATATATATGTACGAAAACATGTACACATAAATATATACTCATGAATATATACATATAGATATAAAACACATATAATATATAGCTCAGGGATTCACGTTCGATGATCATGGTTGGAATTCCACTCTGGCTTTTTTATTGACCTTGTCTTGGTCTGAACAGCAAGAACTATCTTGGCACTCTTTTTCTAGGGCGCCACAACAACAATCAACATCTAAAGAAAGCAAAAGTTGTCAAAAATAATGGATGCTATCGCCAAGAAAACTTGAGCCTGTCAAACACGTTTTGGTGTAACTTTGAACTGCGTCACACCAACAATGCAATTCAGAGCCAACATGCAAAGTGTTTGGAGAGTGTTGAGATTAGATGAAACAAAATACAGAGTTCCTGACTGGAGCTTTTCTTCTCCTCATCCTTACATCAAGTGGTCTTTGCAGTTTGATACTAAGCTTCGTGGAACTCCACAAAAACTCCGAGACTACTGGGGAAGGATACAATCTCTATAGAGGTTTGGGCGGATTGGGAATTCAATATAAAGTTTGCTCAGTTTTGGACGCTTAATGACAAATTTTTAGTCGAGATCTTCCAAGCGTTTGTTTGCTTATTTAAGTCTTCACTCTCGAGCTAACTGAGGCACGCTCAAGATTTTCCGCTCTCCTGACAATATTGAGATTGCCATAGAAAAGACATTTTTACTGATCATTACATCTCTTCTTGCACTCAGGACTATGAATCACCAAATATTTTGGCACGCTTGATGAACGAGTCAGAAGGGAAGGTGATGTATTATGTCTTTTGATTCTCCCACACTAGTCATGTCCGATGATAACTACTCGCCTTTGTTAAAGGACGAAGTAGGGTTGTATACCACTTCTCCGGGGAACAGTAAACTCCTGTGCGAATATGATGTTGCGATAACCATTTGGATGACATCAAGAACTGACCACTGAATTACTGCAGGTTAGTATGAGTTATATGCTCAACAAAAGCATACAGAGACCTATAACACGGCGATTAGGGAGCCACCTGGAAGGCAGCACGGATTTCCCCAGAAACATTCCCATGTGACCAACCCCCTGCTTACACGAGAAGTGTAGGTACTTACTAGGGTGGTCAGCCATGACGTCGATGTTATTAATCGACTTTAACCTACTCAGGTTTGTCTATTAGACCAGTGTGGGTGACTCACGTGGAGTATCTTGTTACAGTATGTATGTGGTAAGCACGCCTTGATCAGAATGACCAAGTCCTTCTAGAGTGAGTCGCATGTTTTGTAGCACACAGTTGACCTCTCTTCAGGGGCTTCATACTGAAATGAGCTGGAATAGATTTTAAGTATTTTGAGTTATTATGAAGAAGCTTAAGTTATCTTGCATTCAAGCAGAATTTTTCAGCTAATCGTAAACAAGCTGCCTGTATCTGTGCGGTCTTGTACCACAACTATATCCAAAGTACTTCGGCGGTTTCGAAGTGCACACTGTTTATTTATGCCTGTGACTACCGGCCAAGTTATGTATCATTAGCTTTTGCGTGTGCTCGTTCGCATGTTTGTGTCGAGCATTGTGTGTTGATCGTATAGCGAGACAACTGTCTGAGAGAATGCGCGAACTGTACTCCGCTTCTCTGACCTGTGGAATCTGGACCCGATCCAGCCCAAGCACCACCGCTTTACACTAGGTCGATTTAGTCCACGCAGCAGATATTTATTGAGACTTTCGCTTCTTGTGCCCATCAAAATCACAACCTTGGAAACCCGACCGTTATTCCTAAGTGAGACAATCACTGTCTACATGTGCAATCCTGGCTGTTGTGTTAAAAAGAAACTCGCACAAACTTTGAACTTGTGCTGGCCCGCGGTAGATCGATTGACCCAATGTGTTTACAGAAATCTGTCTGGCTCTTATCGTATCGAACTTCTGAACTGCTCCTACCACTGTATATTCCGTATTTGACAGTGTTTTCAGTTGTCATATGAATTATGGTTAATGAACCAAATGATCAGTCTCAGAAAACTGACCTACGATACATCTCACTCTCTTCTCCATCGATGACGTAGGATATGAGCCAACATACTGACTGCTGTGCCAAGAAGTGGTGACGGAAGTTCATTCAATTATTAACTATTCTATCTGTATCCTACCGATGTAACAAGTTTTGCCTACTCTTGCGTTTAAACAACAATCCGAGCCATTTCTCTTACTTTCACTGACAATAGTCAATATCCAGTTGTCTTTAATAGTTATCTTGTCACTGTATTCACCATTATACCGGTGCGGTAACTAAGAGCCAACTTTACAGTTGTCCGTGTGGCATCAGAGTCCATATAATAATGGAAACCAGTATGCGAACAAACTCGGAGTGCAAGACATTCGATTCAGTGTTGCGCGAATGAGTTAGCGACGTCTGACGAATCTCTGCTGGTCAGAAGCTCTTTTGTCCCATGAAAGATAAAAAGTGAAGAAAGACCAATAGGAAGTGTTGTCGACACATCGGGGGTAGCTACACGAACGTTTGCTCGGATATCAAGAGGCTTACGGTTCTCTTAAAAAAACGGAGGCTCCAAATTCCATATCACGCAAAAGCGAAATAATACTTTTCCATGCATGAAAATACTGTTTATGAAGATGAAAAAGTATACATTACACTGTAGAGCGGCAAGTTATGTCCGAAATACTTTTACTTTCTGATAACCTCAATCTGTCATTTACACCTCAGTATTTAATTCGGGCACCAATGTTCCCTTGTGTTAAGCAAATAAACCACAGTATCTATCATCCCGTCTTTGTAATACTTTTGCACGCACACATTCAATGCTGCCCTTGAGGAATTATTCAAAGCCGTTGCGTCTAAAGCTGTTTTTGATGTCAAATTCGGCATATTTATTTTATTTCCCATCGTATATCAGCAGGTATCTGTTTTTTATCTTCCACCGCTCTGGCACGGTGCAACAGCTATGTTTCACTTTGCCGTCCTACTGTCAGCTGACCAGATGCGTTCGATTTAAAAACTGAATCACAGGTGGACAGGTAGACTAGTTCCGGACGCACCGGCCAATCGCATGAGCGGCAACATCGATTTCAAGTCGTGATCACATGTTCCACTTTCCGCCCAGCTTATTGATTCTCGCTTTCCATAAATACCGTCGTTCAGAATAGCTAAATCCGCACGTCGATTGACTCTGGAAAGCAATGCGCCTGTTATGACATTATGCGCAACTGCTGGTAAGACAGCGCTAGTTGTACGGGAAAGATACTCCTGAATTCAACAGGTCCAACAATAAACAATGTGACTGGAATTCTGGTTGACATTACAGTGCTGTAATTTGTACACATCAATGGGGCATCGGTATTGCCGTTTATTTTTGTCATCAGAAGACACTTTCACAAACAAGCACAATATTACCCGCCAGTGGTACCTCCAGGGAGGACTATTTACAAAAAAACATGGAAAAATAGCACGATTCTAAATGTACTTACATTATGAAAAAGACTGATTCAATAGGAAGATGACCTGATCGATAAGTCCCAAAAAACATTTAACATGCATACGCCATAGGACATATTTTGGAGCATTTTCAAGTGTAGGGCATACGCACAGGAAAATTCGGTGATTATACTTGTAGCACTACTCTTCATCTAGGTGGTTAGTGGACACAAATCCGCAGTGGGATGAGTCACATTAAACTCAAGCAGTAGGGCCACCTTCCTTATCTATGTTATATATATATATATATATTTCAATGAAAACTGCGGTTCCCTTGACGCCAAGAAGGTTTGGTTGAACCCCTCGTGAAAATTAATGACTATACACTGGTTTATTAGCCTTGACATATATATTCTGTCTTGTCAGTAGGCTTCAAAATGACCTCTGACCAATCTACGCACCGCAAGATGGGGCTAGTGGAGAAAAAATCACATTGGTGAAGTGAATCATTTCGCAGAAGTAGACGGCGGAAAGCAGTGTTGTGGAAATCACAATCAACCAAGGGACAGTTCATGCTGCAAACAAGCTGTTTCTTTCATTTGTTTCACCCTAGAATACGCGGTCTTCTAAAATGTCAGTCGAACATATTCAGAGAAGGTTACTGATGATATCGACACTAGATTATGTTGACTTAGCAAGTTTTACTTCCGGTAAACTAACTGAACACCCTCTGAGCGCTTTCTACACGATGCTGTTTGACATCTACTCAAGTTGTGTGAACAAGGCTCATGCCTTCTAAAACACCTCCAGGAAGAGTTTTACCTCTCCTGAGGATTCATGCCTCATGGGAAGACGTCTGCATCACTCGTACAAAGCTAATCGTGAGTCACTCTAGGAAGGTTGGGGCGGGAAATCACCCGAGTAGCTATTTTGAGCCAGTAGAATACCCTTAGATAGCACCGTTGATAATAACAGGGTGATCAAGAGTGTGTATCTCGATCGCTTCAGTGGTTATGTGGCATGGGAAATGGTTGGCTGTTTATCAATGTCAGAAAGACCAATCTTTTAAGCACCAACAAGATCCCGTACACAAAAACCGAAATAAGTTCACAGTGACTGTGAAGGTCTGAAGATATTTTTTTTACATACTACGCATTTCACTTTTAAGGAAACGAATGTACTGCTGTGTCGAGGAACTGCGGTATGAAAAAAAAACGCAGCTCTACCACATACATACTTGGCCCCCAATGATCGATCGTGAGAATCCACTTAGCATTCACAGAAGCCAGGAGATGAAACCTACGGACCTTAATCTATGCATCCATAGTTTGTGGAATTTCCTGAGGGGTAGACGAACTAGCAAGCTGAGTAGATGCTTCTAAATAAGAACTCTCCAAGTTGTATGGAATATAAGACATTTTCGTTCAGATCTGACACACATATGTCAAACCAGAACCCAATTTTTGCTAGAGCGAACTGCAAGCGCCTTTGTCATCGAGGCCATTCAACTCCATAGCTCAATGTATCATCATGAAAGCACGACACTGGATATCACTTAGCTTATGTTCCTCAGGGTCGACGTGTATAATAAGCACGGCATACCGCTGGGAGCTAAACTGTTTATTTCTGGTGTAACTTATCAAGCAAAACAAGTATTGTACAACCTACATTAGTCCCGGAATCAGTCTTTTGATTTTTATGATTTGCCTTCCCTCGACATGCTGGCTCGATTGTCCTGAGATATCTCCATCATGTTAAGAACAGAGAATACAGATTTACCAAAACTGGCATTTCGGTCCACTGTCAAACCTCTCATTTCGGGTTTGATCCGAAATCAGGACCGAATGCACCTTTGACTTATAAGCTGTAGTGGGATGCATAGTTGGGATTAAAACACTGATTTTGGCATTTTTGAACACTGTGGTCGAGTTACACTGCCGGTGAAGACGAAGTTTACTTGGCAATCATTTAGAGGGTGTGATCATCAGGACATGCTCCAAAACTATCATACAGCGTTTGTTTGCACCAAACAATCCATACACCACGTGACCATTTGTATTTGGTGGCGAAGTTATTTGATGCAGGTTAATCGATGCAATTCAGGGTGTATTCGAGATCATTTGAACTGTGAGAATCATTACACCCTCCCATGGTTAAACGTTGTCGTCTAAGTCATCTTCGGTAGACAGCTTGTGTTGGGGTAATTTGCTGAACTCACATTACCCGACGACTTTTCTTCTGAAATGTGGTGCTTTTTAAACCACCTCAAAGGGCTAACAAAGTCGACTATAATCACGGTGGCAAATCGCGCAGACGACAATGATGGACATGAGAAGTGAACCTTGCACTAGTGAAAGTTGGTACTCCCTAAATCTTTGGAATGATAGCGATGATGCGTCTTCTGATCAATGCTCACCAGCGGGGAGCATCTAGTTCACATTTTATGGGGTCTGGCAGTCGATATTGCGTTACTCGAGTCAAAAGTAATCGGTAACGGCGACTTGGGGCCCGAGAAACGTGGTTCACGCAGACACTCAGTAGTTTTATCATATGTCGACACAATTTTTGACGGCTACATTTGAGGCAGGTAGTATGGATGATCTACATCGTTTAAAATGAGCACATCCCAGAGTGGACCACGCATAAGACATTCCCAGACAAATACAGGATGAATATCGTGAACACAACCAGCCGGTGCACACGTCACTCACTGCTTTCACAAAGGCTCTTGCCTGATCGAAGGAAAGATTGTGGACCGTGATCGAACGAGTTCATTACCTTTGTCAAACCTCTTTAGTCAGAAATGAAGCTTAGATTAAGTACCTAATTCCGTAGCGACACTTGACTGCCGTGCGCACAGAGCCGCATCCAGCAGTCTTTGGACAGTCATCCAGACTAGTCATACCACATCATAATCAAAACGGTATTTTTGAGAAGTCTGCGACCAAGCCCTGTTGGACATCGGGACCTGGTGGACATTTCAGTGAACTCTAACTTGTCTCGACAGCACTGTGACCACAGACCAACCGATAAGATAAACTAACATTCAAAGCAGTCTGAATACATGTCCGAAAGAAAGTTTACTAGCAACCAAAATCCATCTAAACAAAAGCGGGACCCCAAATACGTATCTCATTGTTCGACGGACTTCTTCCGCAAAGTTTATTACAGTTTCTGACAGGTCGGAGCTTAAAAACAGGCGGAAGTGTACAAATCCAATGCTTCTCCCCGATGCTGCTATACTGTTTGTAAGGTTGCTAAAAACGACAGGGACCCGGATTAATGAAACCGGCAATGCGCTGTCGAAGTATCATAGTCATGGAAAATTGCCATGACACCTTGAATATTAGCGGTTGAAAAATAGCCCGCATGGGGCATTTCCGAGTCTCTCGTGGAAACCACCATTTACAAACGGCGCTCGAGCAAGGAATGATCTGATGACGAATGAAAGCGCTTTGGGTAGTTTCATCCTGATTGCCCGATCGAAGCAGAGATAACCGCATGTTGCACTTAACAAGTCCACGGTACTACTGGCTGAGACCGTAAACAGATTCCAAAGTTGGAACTTCAATGTCTCCTCAGCGTAGCAGGGGTCAGGCTGCCGCAGCGCGTTCGCAAAGGGGTGCTTAAGGGAGCACATGGTAATCAAGCAGAATCGCTAGCTGGGATATGTGTCATAAACATCCAGTCGTTAAGTACCACATGAAATGGTGTTTTCCGCACCAAACTGTTGCTGACCAAAAGCTTGCTGGGAACCGGCCATGACTTGGCAACGAGAAGTGGAGGCGATTGCTGTGGGATCTTCCCGCCGGTGTGGTTGGAGTTAATGTGATTAGAAAGCACACAGTACGCGAAACGTAGCTGGCCCCAGTTTGAGCATGCTGTCAATTCATAGTTGGACTGCCTAGATAGTTTGCCCGTCGTTGTATTGTAATCCCACGTTAAGTGAGGTTCACAATAATCATGCCAGTGCCACTGGTGGTGCCCTCCATATGTGCTTATTCCCTTGCAGTTTTGAAGTCTGGGCATTTGGCGAAAGAGACTCGTGTGCGAATTCCTTTGGTTGCTAGGATTCCCAAATGAATGTGAGTTGGGCAGAGATTCGTTCTTCATCGTTTGCACTAAGTCCCCATACGGCAGTGAAGCATCGGTGTTGAACACTGATGTCATGCTGTCGATGATGATGATGGTGACTAAGTCCCCACCTTTCCCATTTCCTTGCATTCATTGTTGAAGCAGTTGTTTCCATGATTATAGGACAGATGAGGAATAAAATTTACTACTAGTGTGTTGTCAACAACGGCTTGTTTTGTTATATATATTTAGGAACGCTGTTGTGCGTTCACAACCAAAATGACACATAAAGAGCTTCACCAGTTGGGATTTTTGTCGTCACCTTAAAAGTTGATCGGTGTAATGCGCCGCAGCCACAGTTGCGCTCGTAACTCCACACAATGTGGCAGAATCGAAAAGGAACAATGATTTGAACTGTGGTTCGTGTACTGTAGAGCTGATAAGTATATACATATAGTGGACGGTCGCCAGAGACAAAACGTCTGAGTGTATACACAGGTGCCTATGTACACACACGTACAACCAAATGCGCTTTTGCACATGCACTGGCAATCATATATCAAGAGAAAGAGGCATACGGGGGTAGAGGACTAGTCAACTTTTGATATTCACTACCGTCAAAATCAGAGCGGGGCGTTAGTGGACCAGGTACGATACACAACGGAAACCAAATCACAGCTGAATGAATTGCACACGTATCGGCATGCGCGCAACGGTAAGTCTCGCCGGTGGATGGTCAAGAAGCGAATACGGGGCAACAGTTACCTTATCCGCGAAACCCTCATGCTCTTTACGTCGAGAAGGGAAACGAGTAGAAGCAATGGGATGGGACAAGAGAATTGGGTCGAAAAATGAGAGATGTGGCACAAGTGGTTCTCGGGGAAGAGAAAGAGGAAGGCGGGTTGGAAGGGTAAGAATGAGGTAAGAAAAGCGAATAGCCGAAATAATCGTAAACCAGGAAATAGAAAGAATCATAAATCGGAGAAATGGGGTGGGTAGTTGGGCACCGTTGGCCCTATGAGACTTTGTCTTTCTTGCTCTTCCGGTTATGGCCACCTTTCGGCTTGATATGATGCCACTGAAACAGCGAAAGAAGTGACAAGTTAGAATCGGACCGTAAACTTCGTATACCAGCAATGAAAATAAATAACTGTATTCGTCAATCGACTCTTAGCAGGGAAACCTATTGAGTTTCAGAAGACCATACGTGTATGGTCCCCGTCAAGTGTCTCTGTGCAACGCCAGACACTCCCAAGATCTGAAATGGAAATTGATGTCCCTCAAACCCAACTAAGATTGATTTCTATATCGTATTTCAGTCTTCCTCGGTCTTTCAGACCATTTGTCAACATCTCCGTCACGAAGAAACTGGACCTTACCGTGGTTTGACGGTTTGCGC